TTTTTTTTGGGATCATTTCTCGATTTATGCGTGTCATCCTTGCGGGGGGGCCATGCTAGTGTTCTTTCTCCGTATCGTTCCAATCCTTCGAAGTTTTAACAGATGTCCCGAAGGACATTCTTTTCTTGTTTCTGCTGTTGTGGAGGCTGGAACTTGGGTTTGGGGCCTTCAGCACAACTTCTTCACTAAGTTCTTGGAGTTATAGAATATGACTCTGGCGAGCCGCGAACGCGAGGGCCGAAGGCGCGAGCAGTGAGCCGGGTCAATGCTGCCCCCCCCAAAAAAAACAGCTAATGAATCTCTTGTTTGGTTGGGAACTCTTTTTTGGCTTTTTTTTTCTGCTTTTCTTCTTTTCTGCTGCTGTGGAGGACAGGCTCGAAGAATGGGAGGATCGATTACTCTGGAAGAAAAATGTGGCAGTGGAGCTCTCTTCAGATTCAGCATCGAGCTCAACGTAGATGCGCACCCCTTCGAAGCCTTTAACGCTGCCAGCGGGCATCATGTCACGAAGAGGCTCATGGATGCGAAGAGAGGTTGCTCTCTAGCGAACACAAGGATTATTTTGGCCATGCCGGACTCGCTGATGCGCAGAGCAACCGTATCCTGGATGACGCGCAACCACATCAAGCCTGACACAATTAATGACTGGAGAAGACTGACAGACATGGCAGCAGGACAGACAGAAGAGCAGACATTAATCAGCACAGGTGCCGAGTTTGGTGCAGTATTATCGAGTTACGAGCTAAGTTCCATGTGTTCATCTGTCCTTGGATGCATAGAGAAGGGGCCGGTAGGTGATGTTCCTGCCATGGTGATGGGAGGGACAGTAGGAGGGGACAAGGAAAACCAGATGAAAAGGGGTGTGGTTGCGCACTCTGCGGCGATGTGCGGATGTGAAGGATCCGAGATGCTTCAGGCAAACTATGGTGGTCTGGGCAAGTCGAATGATCGAAACAGTCGGGTTCATCCTAGCGTTGCTGACGATACTGTTAGCTACATCAACTATGAGACAGCCCACAGCTGCGCAAATGGAGAGACTGCTTGCTTGGGCCCAGAAGTTCACGACGGGCAAATGAGCCGTGTGGTTATTGTTATTGATTTCAATCTCCTTCCGTGGAAAGATGAAATTCAGGAGCGAGAATTGAAAGATCTGATTGAGAGGTTGGCAGCCTGTTGTGCGCAAGGTAGAATGATATGCAAAGCTGATATCGGAGTCATTCTTACGAATGGACAGCAATCTGTGCCATCAATAGCAACAAACGATAGAGGATGGAAGACGGAAAGTGTGCGGAAGCCTTGCTTCGATTCTTCAGAAGACTGGGAACGGGATTCCTTTGGAGGGACGCACACTCCGACCACCTCTGGAGCTGATCGAAGTCCCAGTCCCAGTTTTGTGCAAGTAGGGCAGGGAGGATGCATATGCACCCAAGCGTCTCAAAACGACCACTCTCATAGCGGGACCGCACATGCTGACAGAATTAGTGTTCCACTGATACAGCCCGGATGCAATGCATGTGGGCAGGTTTGTCAGAGAGGTGACGCCCGTTTCAGAAGTTCGATGAACTTCTCTGGGACTACAACTAGTGTGGAGGATGGCCATACCTCAGATGAGAAGGTTGAAGAGAGTCAGTCGTCAGTAGATATCTCAGGCCAGATTGAGACTGAGGACGTCGCAGCTACACGTTCTGCCTGTGTAGATATAAACAATTGCACTGATCATGGAACACCAGACACTGAACCCTTCACTCCTTGCTCTGTCTCCTTGGTTTGGGTCATCCCCATAAGCAGCAACACCAACCTTCGGTGGAAGCTTCGGAAACTTGGCGAATGGGCTTCGAGCCCAGAGAGGGACTTTCCTGTAAGATGCCACATCGTGAGCAAGCCCTTTCACGCAAGTCGCATGCTAGAAGTGCTGGAAATGGCAGCTACTAAAGAGACTACAACATCGGGTGGAAATGTTGTCGAGATGGAAAGCCCAGCGGCGGAGGTCGAGCCTGACGAAGTGACACGCCACAATATCATCTGCGATGCACGTACTCCTTCCCTGTGGAGAAGCGCAGGTAGTCCTAATCTGCCTCAGGACGGGGCAATCCATGACCACTACCTTACGCCTTCTGATATTCAAGCAGTTGATATCGATGCATGTGCAGTCATGAAATGTGAGCCAGCGTCTGCAGTGACCACACTCCAAGCATGTGCACCGTCTGAACTTCACGGAACAGAAAGTTGTGCCTGCGCTTGCAAAGCGGATGTACGTCAGAAACAAGGTAGCATGTTGGAGAGTGTAGTGTTTTCACATCCAGGTACCAGTTCAGAAAATCTTGGGCCAGATGACCGTTTCGCTGCTTGCTGCGGGGGTGTAGTGGACAAACGAGCTAGCATGGGGGGCAGCACAGCGTCCTCACTTGCGTCTAGTGGGTCCATACACCCTAGACCAGCCGATTCCCCCTCTGCGAGCGCCATGGGTGCAACGGCAAAGTCGAACGCAAGCGGGCATCAGCTAATGGTCTCCTCCCCTGCTCATCAACATCCCATAATGGAAAGCGAAAATGATATCCGAATAACCATCGCGAATTGTGTTCGGAATAGTGACGAATGGCAAAGGGATACGGCTCCGGCACGTTTCACAGCTGAAACATTCGAGAAGGGAACTGCTGTACCTCCACCGCCGGGTCCACCCCCTCCAGATAGGAATGCAGCATTTGCACCGCCGTTGCTAGCGGGAGGTGAATGCGCGTTAAACATAGATTCGATCTGTTCTGCAATTGCGCAGAGCAAAAGGGGCGGTCAAGGTAATCTAGCCAACAGCTCTGAAGCGCTGGACAATCTCGAACTGAAGGACGTGAATGGTCGGCAGACGACAAAGTCGTTGCCCGTGGAATGTGTACTAGGGCCTTCCCAACCCTCTACACAATCTCTCGAGGGTGAGGGGCTCTCCACCAAGCTCAGAGTTACAGTCTTAGAGCAACCTTCTCACTGTAACCAGTCCCTCAGACCATCAATTGGCTTGCATTTTAGCAGGAGAATTGTTGATGCCCACACATATGGTGGGATGGGGATGTGCAAGTGTGGGTGTGAGAACGATCCTGCGATGTCAAGTCCTCAGTCAGCAGGACACTGTAACTGTGAGGTTCGCAATAGAATGGACTTCAAGGGCAACGCAGTCAGCACAGATGGGTTGAGATCTCTACCGGAGAACCTTTCAGTTGCGATCAGCGCGGTAAAGAATACAGTCAAGCCTGAGGAGGTAGATCATGTACAAAGGCTGGGAATATGTCAGAGAGAGGAGTGTTGTTACCTTAAGGCAGAACAAGCTCCCTCGGATTTCCAAATGGACGAGTTGGCTTCTGGCGGAGGGCCGAGGTTGGACTCGATCCGTAGAGCTGGGAGCGCATTGGGCATGAACCGAGTGGAGGGAGGAAGTGCAGTCAATCAGAGACTGGAACCAGCACGACCAGATATACACGAAGGGGGGAGAGGTATGGGGTTGCACGTGACGAGTGCAAGTCCCGAGCACCGGGAGATCCAGATCATCAGGGGTTCAGATTCAAATACAGAGGGAGCGAGAGTGGTCGATCAACTCTTCCAAGTAGGTGTGGAAGACAGCATAAGGTCCATGGTGGGCACGAGCTCGCAAACGACTCCGGCAGTGTCTTGCAAGCAACAGGATGTTTCGCTTTGTGCAAACGGCTCATACCAACCAGAACAACCCACTTCTTTGCTGAAACAAGAACAAATCCAGGGTGTTCCTCTTGCCTCCAAATGTTCGGAGAGGACTGCTCCTTCACCGAGCCCAAGCTCTGCTTCTGACGGTTCAGTGAAGGATCCTTCACCCGTGCAGTCCGACTGCGAAAGGATGAAGCAAGCCACACAAACACCTGCTCAGCTTGGAAAACCCCTCTCTGGACTGGAGGTGCTGGTTGCAGAAGACACGGACCTGCTACGCAAGCTTGAAGTAACAATGCTACAGAGAGTCGGCGCCAAAGCGATTGGCGTGGAAGACGGGAAGAAAGCGGTGGATGCCATTCAGCAGAGAGCTGCTGTAGGATCATCACAGAAACAATTTGATTGTGTGCTAATGGATTGCCAGGTGTGTCCTCCAGCCTCGCTGCTGCCCTTGTATGTCGAGTCATTGTGGAGCATATATATATATTTTCCATCTGGTGTGGGTGAGTGATAGTCTACTTTGATTTTGGTTAAGGTRGATTATCAYTTACAGTGTAATCAGTGAGGGGATTCTRCAGACTGTTGAGGGTTCAGCCTCCTGATGAGTCGGTGAAACTCCGACGAAACAGTTTGTCACAGCCCCTCGTTTGTTGTCCTCTTCTCCCTCTCTGCCTACGGTTTACCGGGCAGTTCTATTTGACGATATATATATATCTGTTTGTATATATTTTATTATTATTATTTTTTTCCCCGACTCTTTGAGCTGGGGCTAAGGTCCCGTATGGTCGCCCAGGTTCCATATGTGGGCCTGGGCCCGGGGGGGACAATCCCTGCACATAACTTTTCAAACAGCACTTCAAGGTTAAGAAAGGTCCCATAAGTTATTGCCGAACATAAATCTCAAGAGGACTTCAGAAGAAAGGTGGGATAAGTGATTCACGACGGTAAATCTCATACTTGAAAAAAATTCCAGAAAAACGATATGCTGTGCTGGGATGCCGGGCTGGTCTCCCGTGCTGCCTTTGGCTACCTGGATGGTCCCAGATACGGTCCCAGTCGACCGCAGCAGAGAATCAAAAGAAAACGTGTAAGAATTTTTAAAAATTAAGACAATCTGGAAATAAGATATGGCCATACATCTATCCACCAAAAGAGCGCACTTGAAGAAACAAACAGAAAAAAAATAGAAGACAACATGAAGCACGCTGAAACCATTCTTTTTCCTTGTCCTATGCAGTTTTTCAATTTCTTTCCTTCCGAGACCTACTTCCGGTGGCCTCCTTTTAATGTGGTGCCAGGCTACTGAAAAGGTTTCACGCAGTCAGTCCCGAAATTCTGGTCCCAGAGTCCCAACCGGCCCAGTCCCAGAATGTCCTAGGGTCCATTGGATGAAGCGTCGTATGTCGGTAGGACGGTAGGAGTCGGGTACCGAAACGCTGCCCGAAGGTAAAATCGCGCAGGTACCGCCGGAGGAAGTCAAGTCCCCAAAGTCCAATTTCGCAGCAGCGTCCCGAGAAAGTCTGAAACATCAATTTTGGCGAGCAGAGGCCACGGGCGACCGCGACCGGTCCGAAGCAGGCACATACAGTCAACCACAGCTATTAATAGCTGCTACAGTGCCGAACCAAAGCTTGTGCGATCGCGCGACCTGGACTGCAGAAGGCGCTGGGGAAGAAGCAAGCGCCCTGGCGGAGAGAGGCAAGTGTTACGATCCTGGCCAATTTCGAAGTATACATTCATCAGAAAGTCCAATACCGTCCATTTGCAAAAAGAAATGAATGAACTTGAGAGGAGAGAGAGGGAAAGAAGAAGAAAAACTTAGAAAGAAGAAGAAGATGATGTACTCCAGCATAGATCAAAGATAATGTTCTTCATCTTCGCCAACCAATCTCCTCCTCTCTTATTCAAACAAGAAAAAACAATAATAATGTTGAATGGCTGAACCAGAATCAATGTCCGAATCCCACTTCTACTGCAGGCACAACATGAGGTCCACCATAGCCATGGCCACCCTTCCTCTTCCTCTTCATGAAGGCTGAGGCTATGGCGGAGCACTGAGGGCTCTACCCTCCTGTCCAAAGGACAACCCAAAGCAGCTATGTCGCTGCCCTCCTGTCCCAAGGTCAACACCAGGCAGCTATGCCGCTGCCCACTCAAYCRMCATGCCTGACTCTGTCCSGAGCTTCCTTGATGCGGCACTACCCCAACTGGGGCCTTCCAGATGCAGCGCCTAACAAGGTGATGAAGATGGTGTCCACCATAGCCAGGTAGGTACCTCGCCACTCTCCTCCTTGGTCCTCTTCTCCCTCCTCCTCCTACCGGTCGAGCTCCACCATAGCCAAGGTGGAAGCTCCTGGCTTCTTCCTCCCAGCAGCGCTGTAGTAGCCAGCGCTCCTCCAGCCAGCGCTCCAACAGCGTGTCACCAAACTTACACACTGAAGAATGAGTCCGGGCTCTCCCCTCGGCCTCTTGATATAGCGGCCTACTTGCCTCCTGGGCGGTGACTCCAGGCCGCTCAGCCTCCCAAGCAACCGGTACCTCTTCCCTTTCGGAGGGAAACATCATTGCAGAATCTAATATTGCCCGTACAGGCTCTAGACTCAGACTGGATGGACTGGTACCGGCCTAGACCTAGCCTACCGCTACTGGGCCTCTAAAAATGCCAACTTTGTCTTCTTCTGCTCGGCCTCGAGTACCCGGCACATCTCCTGCTACTGGGTGCGGTACCGGCCTACCTGCTACTTGAGTGTTTTTCTGTTGCTCTAAGTGCCGCGGGCCTCTGGCTCCGCCACTTGAGTGCTTTCCCCTGCTGCAACCCTCAATGCCACGGCCACAGGTAAGTACCGGCCCTACAGGCCTGCCAAACAAGTACCCTTGTGGGTCACACACACGCTCATGCCGACAAGCACACAGACAGGCACGCAGGTCAACAAGCACACACACATGGTTACATGCTGCGCCTGCAACAGGCTGCACGGGCCATTTCCAGGCCCGTGACGTTTTCAGGCCAAAAGCCTGAAAACAAGGGCCTACAGGCCCTGTGTCGTTTCAGGCTAAATCAGGGACTTTCCGTCCCTGAGTGTTTTCAGCCTGAAACTGAGGGCCATTTTCGGGCCCTCGTCAGTTCGACCTGCTCTGAAATTCTGGCAACCAGGGTTTTAGCACAGGCCATTTCGGGCCTGTTTTCAAGACAACCCCTGGTTAAGCTTCAACGCCAGGGTCTGGCACGTTTCGGCATTGGCAAGAGCAGCCTCCTGGACGGGCCAGCACTATATAGGACTGGCCCGCCCTGCAGGCAGGCAGGTAGTTCCTAGGTACTTCCCAGGCACTTCACGTGCAGTTCAGGAGGCAGGAGGTAGTCTTCAGGATTCGGCAGCAGCACTCTGGAGGAGCGCTGCAGTAGTAGTGGCAGCGTTAGCAGTAGTCTTCAACGCTGGGCGCTAGTAGCGTTAGCAGTAGTCTTCAGCGCTGGGCGCCATAGGAGCTAGAGTAGTACTAGAGAGAGAGAGATTAGGCTGAGGCCAGGGAGACTTACCTGCAGCGCCATTGCTCCGGCTTCATCTTCGAGGTACCTGCACGACAGCGCCATCTTCACAGGTTAGTACCTGGCACATAAGAGAGAGAGAGTTCTTCTTCTTCCTCTTCTCAGTCCACCATCTCCTTCTCACCCTCTCGCTATCTGACTTCACTGCATCAGCAGACTACGAGAGAGAGAGAGAGA